TGGTCATATTTTGCTATTTATATATACGTAAGGTTAAGTCAAACTGACGGACGCTTCATAACCGGTTTAATTCGCTTTTTTTTTCTAATTCTATGATTAATGGGAAGTAAGCCTAAGGGCGACGCTAGAGGGCGCCCCCAACACATTTGTCGCCCTAGGCAATTGCCTAGCTCGCCTGTAGCAATCGCCGGTGTAGGTACCAGATTGACTCGGGCTGCCAGATTGACTCGGGGGCCTGCGCCTTTTGAGATGCGTCAGAGCGTCCGCCATCTTAAATGTGGCAAATCTGCAGTTTCTCAGTCACTTAAACAGTATCAGAGAGACTTTAATCTCTGAATATACTTTGTATTCGTAGTATTTTTGGTTTTGTAATATTACAAGTTTATTTTTTGTATCCCTTTAGCTTCATTCTCCTGAATTTATTCTCGTTACAAATGCAGACCGCGGGCTCAATGTAGTTTGTTTGAGTGGCATTGCCATAATGTCACGTCATCGGGAGGCGCAAGGCCCATGGCGAATTCGGTGACGTCATCAGAAGGCGCAGGGACCTTGGAGAATGTCTTCGTAAAATTGTCCGTTTACAAACAGCAATCCCGCTTTCGAATAAAACCTACACCCCGCTATAATTACTTTAGTAAGCTGTCCAGACCAATCAAAATGTTTTGCGCAATTGTGCAAACGTTAAAACAATTATGTATTGTGACGTCATCAAAAGGCGCAGGCCCCCGAGTCAATCTGGCAGCCCGAGTCAATCTGGTACCTACACCGGCCCTGATTAGAGCCTTAATATAAACACAAAACAACACATGATAAATGATGCATATTTACAACAACTTATTTCTCTCTTATCTATTTACATTAAAAACATTTAAGAAAAAAATCTAATTAGAACAAAGTTGTTTGGAAACAAATTTGTTTTTATTTTCGTTGAATAAACTCTGCGTTAGTTTTAAGGAGAGAAACAGGGAAAAGTTTTTTAACTCTCAGGATGATTTAATGGAGGCTTTATTTCAGCTGTGTGTGTTTTCAGGATTTATCCGTCCTTCTGAGAACCGGAGGAGTTTATTCCACCGGAGCAGCTGAACGTTTCCACCCGACAGAGGAGCAACTGTTAGCGGACACACGCAGCCAGACTTACCGCTGAGAACCGTCCTGACTCTCCGGGACTTTAGAGCGACGTCTAAAGTTAACGTCTGTCCGCCGCTGGACGCCGCTTAGCAGACATGAGGAGGCCGCAAAGAAAAGGTCCAGAACCGGTTAGAACCGGTAAGTTCCGCGCCTCTGGCCGCCGGTACCGGAGTTCGGTGTGAGGAGCATCAGGTGGCGGAGACCAACTGGGAGGCTCATTTTCTCTGCGCCCTACAGGGCGGCGCGCCGTCTGCGCATGCGCAGTGACACATCTGTCAACGGATGGTCGGGTAACCAAGTTCGTCTGAACACCGAACATTTTCAATGATTCCATAGCCCTGCATTTATAGAAATAAGAAAGGTCATGAAGGTACAACAAACAAGCCTCTATAACAGACAAGCTAAAAGAAAAAAATATTAGTTAAAAAATGTCAAATAGTTACAATTAATTAAGTAAATAAAATAAAATTAATTATAGGAATTAAAACAGAAGGTAGAATCAAAATAAGGTACAATATACCTCAGAAAAATGAAAAAAGTGTCAGAAAGGAGGAAGATTATTATATATAGTTATAGAGACCTCTTCTCATTCAGGGAGCAGGAGCTGCTGGTTGGCAGAGCATAGGAGGTTTAAAGGAGCAGCTCAGAGATAAAGGAGGGAAAAAAATTTAGAGATTTAAAAGCAATTCATCATTTAAAACTGATCCTTTCACATTCAGCAACCAAGGAAGAGATTTTCAGATAAGTAATGTGCTGAAACATTTTGTTTTTCTCCTTAAAAGTTGTTCTTCAGCATTTTGCACAACCTGCAGATGCCTGATAGAAGCATCAGATTACAAACACACCAATCACTGTTTGCATATGAAGGGTTAACTTTAACTGCCTCAAATGAAAAAAAAGGTGATTTGGTTAGCAGGTTAAATCCCAGATAACAGGCTTAACATGTTAAAGCAGAGAATGTATGTAGATGAAAACCATCACCTGGTTCTTGCTCATTCTGATGTAAAACATTTAAGGCCTTCCAGGATTTTATGACATGGAGACATTTGAACGAGTCTGAGGAGAAACTCTTGGCTTTTTAAAAGAAGGAGATAAATGTGGGGTAATGTGGGTAACATTGGAGGGAACGTTTCCTGAAGTAGGACCCGAGGGAGGAAGGTACGAGGAGAAGAGCAAGGGCCCTGATACTGACCCCTGAGGGCCTCTGTACTAAGAAAGTTCGCTCTGCCTAATAGGATGAGTAAGGCGCTGACTCCCCATCACTGCTCCAAACCAGAAATGAACACTTTATGGTCAACTGTGTCAAAGGCAGCAGTTAATAACGCGGCGCCCAGAGTCCTAATAGAAGTTAGAATAAAATTAAACTTTATTGTCTTTCCACTGTCAGAAATCCAGAGCAACAAAATTCCCTCTCTGCTTTTAACCCAACCCCTTGGGGAGCAGAGGGCTGCCATGGTGCGGCGCCCAGGGAGCAGTGTGGGGTTAAGGGTCTTGCTCAGGGACCCAGAGTGGCAGTCTGTGGAAGTGGGGCTCGAAATCACAACCTCTGGGATCCAAGCTCTTTGCCCTAACCACAGCCATAATATAAGAGTGGACCCCTGCATCGACTGCTTTCTCCCGTCATATGGTGCCGCCATCTTGGGGAGGTCGACAGCTCCGCTCAGTGTAATGTGTTGAACAGGAACAGAATCAATTTTAATCAACTTTAACTTTCAAAATATTAAACAAATTTTCGCAGTTTTTTTTTGTTCAGTTTATTAAAATATTCTTAGTTAATATAGTAATAGAATATTCTGATAGGATGGATGTTGCAAAGCACCAGTCAGACATTTTTATTACTATATACAGAAACAGATTTATATAGATATGCACGTTTGCTGCTGTAACAACACAATACACCCACTATGGGACAATAAAAGGAGTTTCTATTCTATGTAGTATATATCTGCTGTTTATTCAGTGATGTCTCCAAAGCTCTGATGGTTTAACAAAGTTCTCCCTCCATCCCTGATGTCATCAGTCTGTTGATTTAAACTAAAATACGCTGCAGTGCTGAGGCATCCTTCTTCTGATCGGCTTAAAGCAGCAGGTTAGGGGAGCAGGTCGACCTCCCCAAGATGGCCCCCGTAATTTATTTAATTGAAATATGGAGAAAAAAAAGGCTTATAATCCCTCCAATCTAAATCACAAACCGTTAGATAAACATCAACACTGAAAGATGGTTTGTTCCAATTGTGCTGATAAGAAAAACAGATTCAGAGCTATAAAAGTATTTGATTTATTTATTACTAAAGGTCAAACCATAACCGTCAGGTGAAAGTCCATCTTCAGCAAAGCTAAGGGTTGCATAAAGAACGGCTAACAGGTGTGTCTCCCTGTTAAACTTTAACATATTCTAAACGTGGAAACTTCTTCATTTTTCTTCATTTGATGAATTTACACCTTACGCAGTGGGAAATCTTTGTTAACTAGAGGTCATAATTTGGCAGCTGAGGTTTAGAATCATTAGAACACATTAGCAGACGTCACTTTGGTTCAAATGAAGCCAAGTTTCCCATGAATGAACAATGAGAGCTGCTGCTGTCAGACCAACCGTCACAGAACTGCTTTCATCAGAGGGGGAATCTGAAAAGACGACAGACGTGGTTCAGTTTGTCCCGTCCAGCCTGCAGCAGAGGACCACCTGAACTCATTCACTGGCAGCACTGCAGCTGCTGCTATTATTACAGGGTAGTTTTATCGAAGCGTTTAGGAACTACATCTGTAAAGAAATAGGAAGTTAAACGTGTTGCTTTCATCCCTGATCTCCTCATTCCTCCTTTGTTGCTTTTGAGTTTAAAACAAAGCTCCTCCAGATACCGACAGCTTTCGCTGCTCCTGCCTAATTCCTGCAGTTGGTTAAAATAATCCTCGTTATAAAAGCATCCAGATTCAGTTGGTTAGGGTTAGTTATATAAGCCCTGCAGTTAGCGGCCATCCTCCACCTGCCTCAGCACACCCAGTGTCATCAGAGAAGGCAGTCGGCGCTGTGACGATCATGGATTTCTGCACACATAAGAGCTATTTTTAGCTATTTCTGGCTAAAATTAGAGCTAAAATCCTTTAGCATGGAATTAGCGTATCAGAGGTTACTTCTGCTGTTCCCCTTCTGTGAGCAGCAGGGTGACAGTAGCCCCCATCTGAGCGCCGTCCTCATCTGATTGACTTTATCATTTAGACAGACGGGCAGAAACCGGTTAAACGTTTCTATCCTTCATCACTCGTTACCAATCCTGCAATCGACCGGTAGTTTATTGATTCCTCACACGTATGGCCTTCATGGACGAGGCCTTGGTTCCTCATCACTCAGCCAGGGAGCTTTACTTACTTCTAGGAATAAAGGGTTTGGCTGTAAACTCTGACGTTTCCAGAGTCTCTGTTTGAACGGATCATTAATGTCGCTGCAGGCTGAAGTGATTTGATTCATTGTTGTTTCCTTTCCACGGTAACCCTGCCCTGTTCAAACAGGAATATGTTTCTCTGTTTACAGAACCTAGACTCTGCATAAGCTGTGGATCAAGTCTCTCTGCTGGGCGCATTTTCAGAATCTTTTCTATGATCAGAGGTATTATGAAACATCATCTGATTTCCCTGGTTTTCACTTTGAATCTATTTTCTCTGGATTTTTCCTCTAAATGGTTTGTGTGTTGGTCTCTGCTGTGTTTTTGCGTGGCGTTTGCACCCCTTGGCAGCTGTTCCAGCTTGTTGTGTGTGATGTGTTTGTATTTTAGGGCTCACCAACTGGTTTTACCAGAAAGGTTCCCAGCCTGCATTTAGCTGCTATTTGAATTCAGGTCGGATTCCTGAAGTAAAGATTTTAAAAATGATTCCTGTCATTTGCTGTTTCTTTTTATTGAACTAAAGTCAGAAATCACACATGGATTAATCCGATAGGGTATAAAGTAATCAGATGTTATCTTCAGGCTCTGTGGTCCAGCTCTACGCTTCATAGTCCCTCATTCCTGCGGTCAGGTAGCAATCCGACCCACTGGTGTCGAGTGAAACTGGACTGGATGATCCAGGTCAGGAAGTACAGAGATCAGTTCCATCCGTTTCCAGCTCCATAACGCAGACTAATCCCCTGCTTCAGTGAACAGGATGAAGGAAAACCAGGCAGGGATTTTACTTTGTGGACCTGGATGTGGGTCGCTTTAAACTGCTTTCACACTGTTTAAAAACTAACAATCAAAATCTGTTCAATGATCAGAAATATTCAAATGTTTATTGGAGGGAAAAAAGCTTTAACAGATATTTCCTTTCTGGAAGGTCATCAGAAGATGAAGTTTATTTCAGCAAACATTTCGATCACGGAGAGCGGAGCGTTTAGCTCACTGATCCTAACAAGCTGCAGATATCATCGTCCTGCCAGGCCGTTAGCAGCAGCCATGTCTGTGCTGCCATGTTGGCTCTGATCTAAGCCCCAAATGGAGATAAATGTAGAGATCAGTCCTTTGTTGTTGCTTCATCATCAGGTTGAACCAAAGGAAACGTCTCTTTATTCTCTTTAAGGAATCATTATTAACAAAGCCTCCATCAGCAGAGAGCAGTTTCCTCTTATCCTGTTGAAATCAAGGCCTTGTTCTCCGGTTCCCCTCCTTCCAAGGCATCGATAACATTCGTCTTTATAATGCGGGTTCAGAATCAAAGACCCAAAAGCTGAATCTAAATAATTTCTGGGGAAAGTGTGTTTAGTACGGAGCTAAGGATCGACAGAAACGCCCTCAAGGCCTGAATGTCTGGCGGCTGCTGCCGTAGGGTGACTTTAACCTCCTGCTCTCCATCGGCTGTGGGATTCTGATGAGCCTCTCCGGTGTAGAGCAGCTCGCCCAGGACCAGCGTGCTGCAGGAGGCGTCTGGCTGCAGCGTACGCGTGTAGAGGAACACCTTCCATGGCAGAGCGTGCGACGGCGTGAAAGCCAGGGTCTGGATGTTGACCAGCTGCATGGCGGCGTGAAGGCTCTGCGGGGAGCGGCGGGGTACGGCCGTACACCTGATGGTTTCCTCCAGCCACAGGCAGTCTTCCCCCTCAGCAGCTGATTCTGTTAAAGCAAAGATGAAAATGGCTCTTTGAGCTTCTGTCATAATTTCAACTAAAGAAATGAGCTGTTAGCAAAACGCTGAACCTCCTTTCTTATTTTAGTGGCTGAACAACAATACAAAGTGCTCCAGGCCACCAGGGGGAGACAAACATAAACTCATATAGAACTAGCCTCTCAGTAAAAAAATATGGGAAGCTCAGAGATTTAGGGTTAAGAAAAAATAATAAATCTGAGATTTAGGGTTAAGAAAAAATAATAAATCTATCTGTCTCTATCCGATCCATATCGGGAAACGCAATCTGTATCGGGAGCACGATCCGTATCGGAAACACGATCTGTATCGGAAGTACAATGCGTATTGGAAACACGATCTGTATCGGAAGTACGATCCGTATCAGAAACATGATCTGTATCGGAAGTACGATCCGTATCGGAAACACGATCCGTATCGGAAACACGATCTGTATCGGAAGCACAATCCATACTGGGAGCACAATCTGTACTGGAAACACGATCCATATCAGAAGCACGATCCATATGAGAAGCACGATCCGTATCCGGAGCACGATCCGTACAGGAAACACGATCTGTACCAGAAACATGATCTGTATCGGAAGCACAATCCATACTGGGAGCACGATCTGTACTGGAAACACGATCCATATCAGAAGCACGATCCGTACAGGAAACACGATTCGTACCATCCATCTCCACATGTCGAACAGATAAGTCCAGGTCGCCATAAATAATGTCATTATGGAACTAAATTTTCCTATTTCTCTCCTTAACTCGCTAAAGAATGCTAATACAAAATTTTTTATGACTTTTCTGAGATAATTTTGGTGCTTTTCACATTTTCTCCATTAAACAGCTTCTCTGACGTCATCATGGGACATCAGAGCAGTCCATTAAAATCTGATTAAACCATGTTTATCTGCATTCCAGTTGTTTGTTTCTTTAGATTACGCACAATATAGCATAATGTTAACGTGAAAGGAAAACGTTGAACTAAAAAAGGCTAGATTTATGTTTAAATCCAAAGCTGATAAAGTTAGCTTCTGGAACGAGCGTAGGATCCCATTTCCTGTACAGATCAGGAACAGAGGGATAAAACTGAAAGGATTTTAATGCATTTATTTTATCAGGAAATAAATTATCAAAGGGGTCATAGAATAACGATAGTACGCTATAGAATTATTCTATAACCCCTTTAACAGGAGGGGTGGACTAGTGGTTAGAGCAGTGCGCTGCTGCTCTGAGAAGGTTGCCAGTCCCCAGTTTGATCCCCACAGACGGCCCCTCTGGGTCCCTGAGCAAGACCCTTAACCCCACACTGCTCCCTGGGCGTCACAAAATGGCAGCCCAGTGCTCCCAAAGGAGATGGGTTAAAATACAGAGTGAATTTCTCCACTGTGGGACAATAATGTTCAATTATTTTATTTTATTAACCTTTAACATGTTTTAGTTTAGTACGCTTACTATTTTCAGGGAGGGAAAAACATAATTTAGGTCTTTTTTACAAAGTATAATGGAGGGCAACCCGGATGAGCTGATGGTACAGATCAGGAAGTAACAGTATCTTATCTTCTTTCCTTTCAACCTTTGCAGGGTGTTTGTAGACTAAAACTCTTCCATCAGAATAACCTGTTTAGCAAAGCCAAAGTGGATCTGCAGGTTTTTAATGAGCCAAACCTGAACTGAACCTGTTTTTAGATTTCCAAGAAGCAATCCTCCCAAACAGAAATCTATCTATTTTCACATTTCTATCCTGCTGGAAGGAACCAACGCTGCAGCCTGCAGGGCATCAGAGCAGCAGTGATTATTGATCAGATTTTTCTGTAGTTTTATGAAGGGTTGCAGAACGAGGGATAGTTTTTAATGATAGCAGCACGCGTCTGCAAACAGCTGCAGCTGTATTGACGCACGTAGAGGGCTGCTCAGGACACCTCTGCAGTTTTTCACATCCATTGTTTTATTTTCCATGATGACAGCGCCAGAATCCGCCTGTAGCTTAAAATAGCAAAGCATGGAGATGGTTTACATCCAGTGAAATTAACCTGCTGCTTTTCTTCATTCCTTAAAAACCTTTTAGGAATCTGGCCTGTCGACCGACTCAGCAGGAAATAAATTTTCAACACCAACACAGTTTCACATCGAATGAAAATGAAAAATATTATATTTACAAAGATTATCTGATGGACAAATATGAGCAGAATAAATTTAAGGTGTGTTTATTTCTAAACAGAAAACCTCAATAGAAACCAACCTGTTTGCAACAGAAAACATAATGGCTGCTTGTTTAATTATTAATCCACTTACTTTAAGACTGAATCAACGACTAAAGTCCCCAAAACAACAGTTCAGTTACTGTTTAGGATTCAATGAACACAAAGAGACTCCACGATAGACTCAGTCCTGCCCAGAGTTTGGCCCTCAGGGGCCACGATTCTGCAGGTTTTAGAGGTTTTCCAGCTTCAGTTCAGCAAAAGCCTCTGAATGAAAATGAAAAAAAAAACTAAAATTGTCCAGAGCTGTTTTAAGTGAAATGTCTTTTTGTTTACATTCGTGTCGACAAAACGACAAAATAAATCAAAGTCTAAATCAGCCGTCAATGGAAACCAGCTGAGCTGCAGCAGGAAACCTCTGAAACCTCCATGACAGGGGCCCTCCAGCGGCCCTCCCAGCAGACCCCCAGCTGCACTCCAAACGGCCTCCCTCCAGTGGCGCCCCAGCTCCCTCCCATTAGCCCTCCAGTGGCCCCTCAGCGACCTTTCAGCGGCTCTCCTAGCGGCCCACTAGTTGGCCCCCAGCGGCCTCCCAGTGGCCCCCCCAGCGGCCCTTTAGTTGGCCCCCAGCAGCCTCCCAGCGGCCCCCCAGTGGCTCTCCCAGTGGCCCTCTAGTTGGCCCCCAGCAGCTCTCCCAGTGGCCCTCTAGTTGGCCCCCAGCAGCCTCCCAGCGGCCCCCCAGCGGCTCTCCCAGCGGCCCTCTAGTTGGCCCCCAGCAGCCTCCCAGCGGCTCTCCCAGTGCCCCTCTAATTGGCCCCCAGCAGCCTCCCAGCGGCCCCCCAGCGGCTCTCCCAGTGGCCCTCTAGTTGGCCCCCAGCAGCCTCCTAGCGGCTCTCCCAGTGGCCCTCTAGTTGGCCTCCAGCGGCCTCCCAGGGGCTTTCCCAGCGGCCCTCTAGTTGGCCCCCAGCAGCCTCCCAGGGGCTCTCCCAGCGGCCCTCTAGTTGGCCCCCAGCAGCCTCCCAGCGGCTCTCCCAGTGGCCCTCTAGTTGGCCCCCAGCAGCCTCCCAGGGGCTCTCCCAGTGGCCCTCTAGTTGGCCCCCAGCAGCCTCCCAGCGGCTCTCACGGTGGCCCTCTAGTTTGGCCCCCAGCAGCCTCCCAGGGGCTCTCCCAGCGGCCCTCTAGTTGGCCCCCAGCAGCCTCCCAGGGGCTCTCCCAGCGGCCCTCTAGTTGGCCCCCAGCAGCCTCCCAGCGGCTCTCACGGTGGCCCTCTAGTTTGGCCCCCAGCAGCCTCCCAGGGGCTCTCCCAGCGGCCCTCTAGTTGGCCCCCAGCAGCCTCCCAGCGGCTCTCACGGTGGCCCTCTAGTTTGGCCCCCAGCAGCCTCCCAGGGGCTCTCCCAGCGGCCCTCTAGTTGGCCCCCAGCTGCCTCCCAGTGGCCCTCTAGTTGGCCCCCAGCAGCCTCCCAGGGGCTCTCCCAGTGGCCCTCTAGTTGGCCCCCAGCAGCCTCCCAGCGGGTTTCCCAGCGGCCCCCCAGCGGGTTTCCCAGTGGCTGGCAGATGAAAGGTTCATCTCAAAAGTTTTTCCAAAATATTTTCATCTTCAACAAAACTGATTAGAAAAAAGCAACATATTTTAAAAAGGTTGTTTTCAGTGAAACGTTTACTGATGATGTTTATTTGAATGTAAATTACAGAACATGCCAGAATCAGGAAGTGGTGGCCTAGTGGTTAGAGCAGTGCGCTCTGCTGTGAGACGGTTGAAAATACCCGGTTCGATCCCCACAGACTGCCACTCTGGGTCCCTGAATAAGACTCTTAACCACCGGCCTTCATTCCCACAGTCCCTCTCTGCATTTAGCCCATCCCATTGGGGAGCAGTGGGGCTAAATGCAGAGAGCGACTGTGGGAATGAAGACCAGTTTTCCTCTGATCTTAAACAGCTGCAAATGATCCTGTTCTCCAAACTCTACAGTGTTGTAAGATGATCTGATGACTTCCTGTTTCAAAGCCTCTGTTATTCTGTTATTTTTGCTGCACAGATCAATTTTCCTACTTTCTGTCAGAGATTTTCTGCTTCAGGTGTTTCTTGGTGTTGAATGGTTGCGTTTTTACTCTCAGGTGTCCTTAGAGACGTTTTTCAGGTAATTTCTCTTTCAGACATGTTTCTCTGTTCACCTGTGCCTCCTCTGCATTTCTACTCCACCTGTTCGTCTCTCTAAGCTTTCAGTTTGACGGTGGATTCTCTGTTTAGTTTACATCGTCATGCTCGTTTCCTTTGTTCTCTATCAGCATGCGAGAACGGAGGTTTGCTTTCTTTCAGGGAGCCACTGCTTGTTGGCTGGTGGCCCCTGAAACTGGTCCGCCCAGCTTTGCTTCAGTTGCTCTGTTCACCACAGATAACATCCTGTCGTTTAGCTGAGGCCTATCAGACCATGCAGCACGGGGGATGCTGCATGGTCTGTTCTAAGGCTAGAAAAGGTTTGTTTTATTTTAGTTATTACGATCAAATATTTTATATTTTTTTCCTTTTCTTTCCTCTGACACCATTCGACCAGTTGAAATGTATAATCTATTATATTTTAGAGCAAAAAAGAGCCTTAATGAAGTATAAAACATTAACCTTAATAATTTCCCCTGCTGAGTCATCAAAACTCGCTCACATATGTAGATGTTTTTAGGTCAGATGCGCTTCCTGGTGCGACCAGGTCGTCTGTCTGTGTTGATTCATAAGTGAAATGGTGCCGGAAACCCCACCATCCTCCCTTAAAGAGAGGCAGATCTTTTAGTTCTCAGGCTCCTCTCCTGTGGAACCAACTACCAGTTTTAGTCCGTGAGGCAGACACCCTGTCTACTTTTAAGGCTAGACTTAAAACTTTCCTTTTTGATAAAGCTTCTAGTTAGAGTGGCTCAGGTTATCCTGAGCTATCTCTATAGTTCTGCTGCTATAGGCTTAGACTGCTGGAGGACATAGGGACCCCTTTTTCATCATTCTGCTTCATTCTATCTCTATTCTCCCACTCTGCAGAATCTGTTAGTTCAATCTCTAACGTTCTGCTCTCTCTGCTTTTTCTCATAGTAGCTTCATCTGGTCTGTTCCTGTTTGGCTGTGACTCCATCCTGGAGAGAAATATCAGCTGTGCTGCTGCCATCAACACCTTTGTTTCTAGATGTTGGAGCTTGGCCTGTTTTCCAGTGTAGTCCTGTTTCTCTGACTGTGACTAACTGGATGTGCTCTCTTCGTCCTCTGGCATGGGAGCTGGCTCGGAGCTCGTCTGCCTGGCTGTGTGTTTCCTGGACGGGGCCGCCTGTGGAGCTGGTTGACAGTTGCCTTTTGTATCTATGCTTCTTTTTCTATGTCTGCTTCTGTCTCCTTGAACCCCAGTGGGCCTCAGCAGATGGCCGCTCACACTGAGCCTGGTTCTGCTGGAGGTTTCTTCCTGTTCAAAGGGAGGTTTTTCCTCTCCACTGTCGCTACAAGCATGCTTAGTGTGAGGGATTGCTGAAGAGTCAATGAGTCGATGCAATCAGCTGGTTTTCCTTAGATAGAAAACTTTGAATCAATCTGACTGGATGATCTGGTGAACTGGAAAGTGACCTGAGATGACATGATGTGAATTGGCGCTATAGAAATAAACTGAATAGAATTATAAGGCTGACCTGATGCAGCTACAGTGAGTGATGGAAGCATACATCCATCTTATTACCTTGTCGTCGCATCCAGAGCCGCTCAAACTCCTCTGGACTTACAGCCGGGGTGAGAGACAGAGTGACGCCTGGATCAGTGCAGGGTGATGCGGCGCCGGCTGAGTCTGTGGAAAACATGGCGAAAGCTCTGAGTTAGCGTGATGGAAACCAACCAAGCAACATGCATCCATCTTTACATCTTTAATCTACAATGAGGTGTTGCTTATGCAGCAACAGGAAATAACCTGAAACATGAATGCAGTCTGAAGGAACCGCTTAACCACCAGCAAATCTACATCTGTCTGTTTCTAGAGTCCCACCTGCTGCAGGTCAGAATGAGTTAATCCCTAAACCAACGGCGCCATCACAGCACCGCTCTTTCAACTCTTCGTTTATTTATCTAAGCTCAGTGGAAAAACCCCTAAAATAAACCATTCTATTTAGAAAAGGTTGCACTTCCTCTTGTACCAGCAACACTTTTAAAGGAAGTGCCAGGACATGCTGATGTGCTGTCCCAGAGATTATCACAGATTACAGCACAATCCTGGCTTTTTCATCCAGAAATAACAGAGGAGCCCAAACAGTTTCAAACATTTTCACATTAGCACCTCCAACTCACCTGTTAACAGGAAACAGAACTGATGGTTTGTCAGAAATGTCAGATGAAGAACAGGAAAGTACGGCGCTACTTCAGAGGAGATTAAAACCGTTACGGAACAAGAGGAAACTGGTTTATCTGTGTGTTACGGATGTCTGTTTACAGTCAATAATACTGCCTGCAGTCAAACCCTGTTTATTTAAAACACAGACACTCATCCAGCCTTTATGAAACAGGCGGTAAACAGGCTGAGGCCTAAAACCCGGTTAGACCCCAAGATTAAAAACAGATGAAGGAAAATATGGACTTTTATTTTTTAAGGGTTTCTGATCGGCTCTTCTGGGATTTTTAGTTCCGTTTAGTTTTTAGTTATGCTGGAATTTTTTTTTCTCCTGTTTTTATTGTTAAGAATTATATCATGTTTTAAATGACTTCTTAGTTTTACTTTTATCTCCTGTTTTCTATCTTCTAGTTTTCCATTCTTTGCTTTCTAGTCATTGGTCTTATTTCCATTTTGATTAATTTATTTTCCAGTTTTAGTTTATCCCTGTTTACTCCTTGTTGCCCCTCTTCCCTTCTGTCCAAACCTGCTCCCAATTAGCTAATCACTCCCCCGTTCTCTCCATTATATACTCCTCCTCCTCTGCAGTTCCTCTATCCCAGGGGTGCCCAACCAGTTGATCGCGATCTCCCAGTCGATCGCGGGGGGAGTTTCAGTCGATGGCGAGAAGTTTTACAACGTAGACCTATTCTGCTGTATGTTACATCTTCACATCCACATAGTTTGTTCTTAGTATTTTCCTATTTTTATCTGTTTTCCTGTTGAATTTTAATCCATCTGCCAGTTTCTCTGCCAACACCCAGTGAAGTTTATCATTCTGAAATAGTGGACTTCCCTTCTCCTTCTTCCTGCTTTGAAGTGATCTTAGACTTAGACAGATTTTTTTTTGTCATTTTGTTTACACAAGTGTAAAACAAAAAGGAAATTTAGTTTGGAACAGCTCTCTGGAAAATTTCATCTTTTTTTAAAGTGCAGCCTTGAAAAGTAGTAAAAAAAAATTATATATATATATATATATATATATATATATATATATATATATATATATATATATATAAACAGTGATCTGGACATCTTGACTGCTCTTTTCTGTAGTTTTGGTGAGTGAATGAGTGAGTGAGTGAGTGAGTGAGTGAGTGAGTGAGTGAGTGAGTGAGTGAGTGAGTGAGTGAGTGAGTGAGTGAGTGAGTGAGTGATATGGTGTGAAGTTCTTATGAGATTGTTAAGTTCTGTTTTTTTCAACCTATTTTTCGACACAATTGATCATTTCCTCGTCTGTTGGACTTACTTTTTTATTCTCCACCTGTGCAAATAAAAAACAAATACTGCCATCCCTTGTGTTTGGATTGGTAGATCTCGGCCATGCCATCAACTTCAAAAGTAGATCTTGGTTTAGAAAAGGTTGGGCACCCCTGCTCTATCCTCTTCACTCCTCCTGATTGTTTCTTCCTGGCATCTCCTAGTTTTGTTCCCTGTCTATTATTTCTGGATTTCAGCCTCTGTTACCATCTACCTCTACATTAGATCTGAAAGAAATCATCTCTGCATTTGGGTCCACAACCAACTTTCACTAAATTTGACAAAGTTGCTATTAGTGTTGCACCGATACCGATACCAGTATCGGACGGGGCCCCGATCCAGCCCTAAAATGGTGGTATCGGTATCGGCGAGTACCAACAAATAGGACACCGATACCATTTTGAGAGCCATAAGTTTATTCAACTATTGTCACTAGAGATGTCCCGATCCATGTTTTTGCACTTCCGATCCGATACCAATATTGTTTTTGGACTTCCGATCCGATACTGATACTGGCCGATACCAGCCTATCCGTAACTGTTTACGGTTTTACTGTTCACTGTGCAATTTCAGATTGCTATTCATAATTTTGTTCAGTTTGTGTTTATCTCTTAATAAACAGGTAAGTTTGTTGTTACCAAGCATTGTGTTTTATTCAATCTCACCTAATTTAGCTGGCTAGATGTTATCAAGAGTACTAAAACCCTTTTCAACATGAGTCTTACAACAAAGGCTAAATACTTTAACTTAAACTTAAATACATGCTCGGATAGGCTGGTATCGGCCAGTATCGATATCGGATCGGAAGTCCAAAAACAATATCGGTATCGGATCGGAAGTGCAAAAACCTGGATCGGGAAATCTCTAGGGCAAAATAGTGGAATGGATCTTTTCAATCGGCGAAACTGGAAAATACGGACCGGATTTTTTTTTTTAAACTGGATCAGCATTTTTACATGCTTTGCCGATACGCATTTTTTTGCCAATATCGGCATCCGATCCGATACGTGGATCGGATCGGGACAAGCCTAATTGTCACCCATTCCAGGCAATGAAAAGTTCTACTGGATTCACTTTGTGTTAGATTTTTTCCTGCTTCACAAAGGCAGGCAGCAGCTTGACATGAAGCCATGATGGCAATTATTTTACATTATTATGGTATCGGTATCGGCCGATACTGCACAGCCAGGTATCGGGTATCGGTATCGGGGCCAAAAAATGGCATCGGCGCAACACTAATTGCTATATCCTATAAAGTCCACCTTTAGTGATAAATAATAAGTTGTATGAAAGTAATAAAGCTTAAATCTTTAACGACTAAAAAATGTGAACGATTGTAAAATTTTTTATCAGTGAGCAGCAGTCCCTCCCAGATGGATGGAGAATTTTTCCATCGATGCAGGAAGAAGCTACTTCAACCGTTTCTATATTAATACTGTTTTAAAAATCAGGAACTTTACTAAACCAGTCAAGGTAAAAATGAAGGCTTTAAAGATTACCTTGAGGAATTGCTGTTCTATTCAATCAGAAGGCTGAGTGGACGCCGCTGTTTAGCATCTAAAGCAGGTTATCAAATCAAAGGTTTCAAGTTTATTTAGCAGAATGTCAGGATTCTAGTTTAAGGTCAGATCTACTTCTGTAACTGTGCCGCGCTTTATTCTCCTCTTCTCAAAATATATTTATTTTGATGGAAACTCTTCTTCAAACAAGTTTTAAGAAAAATGTTTTAGAGTTTGGATGCAGTTCCATAAAAATGCATTGGAACCTTTATTGTTTTGACAAACGAATAACAATCAGATATTAGACAAGAAGACAAAGACGGCTTAATTGGTCACACAATTAACGACTTAGTGTGTGAAAATAATGATCCATGTTTGATTTATAGAGCATTTGTTGTTCTAGGTGTGTGTGCAGCTGTAACTAAAAAGCAACTTTTGGGATATTGGTGGAAATGCAAAATCTAAAGATGTAAATCAGGAGAGCTATGCAAATACAGATGTCTGCAAACAACAACAGAGTGAAGTCATGTTTTAGCAGAGTGGATCGGTCTTAGCGTCTGTCTGTCACCATAAACACTCTGATGCTGCAGGAGACAGAACTTAAGGCCAGTCGATCGTTTGATCAGCGCAGTTAAAACAGAAAAAGAAAAAGAAGGGAAATTGCTGAGGTTAATTCAGGCAGCAGGAGAGCAGCAGTCTGAGCAAGTAGAGGAGCTAAGCCTCAACAAATATTAATGCTGACTAATAATGGACCAAAGCATTTCAATAGGATTATATGGGACAGTTTATAATAATAATATCCATAATTTCAGTAATCCATTCAGTTCAGTTTCAAGAATCAACTTGTTTTTGGTCTCAATGAATTATTCTGAGATTTTCTTTGGTTTATAGAAACTAAACGGCATCGTTGGTCAAAAGACAAACGTCCCAAACTAACACAGCAAACATACATGGCATCACAAATTAATAGTTCTGAAACCTTTAATAGGACGGCCATCTTGAACATCTATCAATCATCCAATGAGAATAACCCAACTTCCTATATATATATATATATATATATAAAAATATAAAGCATAGATTTGACAGGAGGGAGGAGGAAGTTGGGTTAAAAACAGTAAAGTTTTCATCTCAGCATAACTTGAGGATTCAGATGTTTTAACTGACCTGGATGGTCCACCTCTGGCCACCTGCAGTCCAGGCTGTCTGGAAGGTCCATGCTGGGTTTGGGAACGGAGGCGTGGTGCTCTGGGCTCCCCCTGCTGGCTGCCTCTGTCTCTCCTGAACGATGTTTCAGAGGCTCCAGTGTGTTGAAGCTGCTCATCCACTGGCGGATGGGTTCAGCTGGACGCCCGGTCAGGACGCCCACTGAGGGGTCGCTTCTCCGACCGTGGAGAACCCTCTGTGTCTCTTCCATCCCACACTGCAGCAGCCGGTAGTAGAGAAGGGCCTGGCCGCGCACACACACGTCCTTCTCCTCCTCTGGAAACAGAGCTGCCATCATTGACATCATCAGTCATCATTGTTATCTCTCACCTACAGACACACACCTATGCAGTAGTGCAGCAATCTCCCCAGCATGTCCTGAGTCTCAGCAGGACGACACAGAAACAGCCTCATGGTGGACGTCAGCAGCTCCATCTTCAGTTCCACAGACGTTTCACTTCTCACTCCGTCGATATACGCTTCTAAGGTGTAGGGGGCGCTGGACACCCGCTCGCCGTGCACGCCCAGCAGCCACAGCAAAGCCTGCCGCCCCTGATGGACCACAACAACACATTCATTTATCTCCAGACATGTCCTCCCTGTTTTCTCCTATCTACAAACAGTGTTGGGGAGTAACGGATTACATGTAACGACGTTACGTAATTTAATTACAAAAACAGAGTAACTGTAATTCGTTACAGTTACAATGAGAAAATATGTAATTCAGTTACAGTTACTTCCGAATTATTAAGATTTACAAATTTAGTTACATTTTTAAAAAAAATATAAAGAAAAACCTTTGCGAAATATGTACAGTGAACCCTCGCTATAACGCGGTTCACTTTTCACGGTCTCGCTGCTTCACGGTGCTGCATCATGCATTGTTAAACTTTATTGTCAAACATAATCAATGGCGGCATGTCGGTTTATAAGGATCTTTTGGCCCAGAAGAAAAAAGAGCGACAACAACTACCGATAACTATGTTCTTCTCTCCAAAAAACACACCTGCACCGCAGGCTTTAGAAGAAAAAACGCCACAGAGCAAAGTAAGAATGCTCCGTCAGAACAGCAGTGAAATACTGTACTGCACACATCAGTCACTATCTGTCCTGCTGTACTTTGTATTGTTTTTCATAATCATTTTTCATTTTCTCCCGTTCCAATCCGTCACGGCGGGGCTGATCCCTGCAATATTAACTCTTCAGTTTGTATTGATGATTAAAATGATTATTTATTTATTTATAACTATATTATTTTACAGTAGCCTGCAGTAGTTATTTGTAAAAAAAAAAACAAACAGACAATAACAACGTCTATACCGTAGGCTACTTTTATTTGTTTAACAAATGCTTGGGCCTGTAAAAAGTTTTTGTTCCTTGATTTCAATGTTGTATGGAGTATTTCATTGTATAATAACTTTAAAAAAATAAAGGTTTCTACTTCACGGATTTCACCTATCGCGGGTTCTTTTAGGAACGTAACCCCGCGATAAACGAGGGTTTACTGTAATGATATTTTTATTGCTTCGCGCCCTGTATCGCCGTTTCCCGCTACGGCTCCTTGTCTCTATCATATTTGCCACTCTGATGATCCATCCTGTGATCGCCTGTCAGCAGTTCCCTCTCAGCTTGGTGCTTTTTAAGGTTCACATTCAGTTCTCAAAAATTAAATGTTCAACATGGGTCAATAATCATTAAAACCTTAAAGTAATCCAAAAGTAATCAAAAGTAATTAGTTACATTACTTTTTAAAAGTAATCGAAAAAGTTACACTACAATTAAATTTTAAACAAGGTAACTTGTAACTGTAACAGATTACTTTTTTAAAGTAACTTACCCAACACTGTCTACAAATATATACAATAAAATAAAAAATGTGGCACATTTTTCTCGCATTGCATCATTTTCTCACTTAAAAATAAATAAAAGCGTATTTTAGAGTTTAAAATCCTTCACAGCAGCACAGTAAACAAGAGAAGAGCCTGTTCTGCAGCAACCTGAGGCTCCTCCTGGCCGCATCTGGAATAAAACAATCCTTCACTGAGGGAAGTTTGGAGAACAGACCAACAGGTTCATATGAGAGATAATATGGCATCATCCATCCATGGCGCCAAGACGCCTCCTCCTTCACTGATGTCACTTTCTGTTTACCTCATTACCTCCTAAATCCTCAGAAACGTCTCAGCTGTCATGGAAGCCTTTCCATGAGGCCAATGTGGCTTAAAGACGCCTAAAGACAGTTGTGTTAAAAAGCTTCACCTGCATCTTCTGTAGCTTTGGAGGCACTGGAGTCAAAATCAGCTCAGAACTAAAGCTAAGACCAGGGGCGGATTTAGGAAATGTGGGGCCCTAGGCAAAGACAGGCATGGGGCCCTCTGAATGGAGAAGACAACACATAAAACAAACCCATTCTACTCTCTTCTTATCCCTTTTCTTCTTGTTTTCCTCTCTATGTTTTGTACTCAGCTGACTTTTCATGCTGTCTCTAAAGGAATGAAAGATTTTTTCCAAGCACTAAGCTCACTTAGCTGATTGCTCCTTCCTGTGTTTCCAAAAAGGCTCCTGTGTGTCGCTGAATGTGTGCACTGATGACTGCACTGCAAAAACGATCTAGAAATAAGTAAACATTTCTTAAATTAAGTGTATTTACCCTTAATTTGAGCAGGTAAATAAGATGATTTGCCAATGAAATTAGTATCTTCACTCTTAAAATAAGATAATTATACAATATGAACTTGAATTAAGACAATGCAATAGCTTTTTCTTATTTCAAATGTAAATTGTCTTGTTCCATTGGCAAAGTGTCTGACTTTCATCCTCAATTTTAGAAAAAAATGTACTTATTTTAAGAAAAAAAATTTCTCACTTAGATTTCCATTTTTTGCAGTGTGAAAGACATCGTCTGCCTCGGTTTATCTCTTTACTACAGTGTGTTAAATTCAAGTTAGTGTGTCTTTAAACACATTTCAATTAGTGCAAGAAATTACACGGGGGAATAAAAAAAAAAAAGTCTAATCAACCAATACTTACCGGACCCCCATGCATTACCTCCATGGACGCCTAGGGGTCGCAGACCCCCTGTTGAAGACCTCCGGTTTAGACCAAATCTTTGTCTAATTTACAGAGATGGCAAAAGTACTCACTTTCCGTACTTGAGTAAAAGTACAGATACTTGTGTTAAAAAATACTCTGGTAAAAGTGGAAGTACTGATTAAACTTCTTTACTCAAGTAAAAGTAACAAAGTACAGGCTTGTAAATTTACTTAAAGTATAAAAGTAAAAGTAGAACCACTTTTTTCATGCCGTTGCCTACATTTTAAATGGATGTCTGCCAATAGGACTAGATCTCCGTTGTGTTCATTTTCAATCATCTCGTCGTCCATGCTACTATGCTAACGCCACCGCCACCAAGCTGCAATGATTTGCCGCCAATGAATACCGCCGAATCTGTCGATTCATCTTGTAGTGGTGCGTCAAATGCAACGTAGATTCCCATCCAATTAGATTGAATTTGGTATTGATGACGTGAAAAATAATAACGGTAACTCCATTTAAATGATTCACAACTAAAGTAACGAGACAATTTTTTAAAATGTAAGGAGTAGAATTAAAAAGTCGCCATAAAAATAAGTAGTAAAGTAAAAATATCAGAAAAATCTACTTGAGTACAGTAACGAAGTATTTGTACTTCATTACTTCCCATCTCTGCTAATTTATGTTAAACTGAAATATTCAAACGTGAGAAGAGGCCAACTGTTTGAAATTAGTAGCTTTAATTGTTAAAATGCAGAGGTAAATTTCTCTAATGTGAGATCCATAAGTATGCATGTGATGAACCGTTTGTACTGAAACTGAAATTTGATTACAACGCAAATTGTAGTTGACAAAAAATAAATTAATTGATTGCTAAAGTTCAGTTATGATTAAAGTGAACATGAATTAATCAGGGAGATAAATCACGTCTCAATAAGTCAGAGAAGCAGAAATGAAACAGAACGGTGGATGAAGAGCTGCGCTGATGGAAACAGAAAAGAAACCGCTGAAGCAGACGCAGCTGTTAACGCCACCGTCTAACCGACATGTTGGTCTGTGCTACTCGCTCCGTCAAACGGCCAGCTGGCCGTGGCACGCCGTCGCTCACGCTGAGGAGGGAGATTCTCTTACTGCTGACGCCACATTCAGCGGGAGGGATTGCTGGAATGCCAGCGCCCTGCAGGACACCACTGAACTGCTGCAGCAGGTTTTCACAGAGCTGAAGCTACAAAGTGCTTCATAAACAACAGCAGCAGTTTGGAAAACTTTTAGAGCCACTTTATTCCCTTGTTTGATCAAAGTTAAACATATTTATTTTATTTTAAGTATGTCTATATGATTGGATTAAAGAAACTTTTTAAACCTTTATTTGCAAACCGCTTTGTGACGATGTTTGTTGTTATAAAGACGAACCAAATAGAAACAGTTTCCGCCTGGTTAACTGATGGAAAACAGCCAACCTGTGTTTAACCTGAGCCTCATGGCTGCGATGCCGCCTCCTTTCTCTGTCACCCAGGAAACCAAACATTTGAATTTGTTTTCCCGTCGGATCCTCAGCTTCCTTACAGACAGCAGCCATATGTGGAGGCCTGCTGTATGCAAAAGGTTGGTGCTTGTTGCCACGGCGACGGATAGATAAACAGCTGAGGAGCGCTGATGTCCTTCTACTTGGTGCATATTTAGATCCTGCTTCATCCAGCTGCTGGATGAATGAATGATTCCAGTTTAATCAGCTCATATGGAGCAAAATGCTGGTGAAGATTCTCAGTCATTCAGGTCAAAGTCATTCCAAAAAAGTTCAAAACAATCCACTGGACTTTGTTTCCAAGTTGGAAGATGTTTCGCTTCCCATCCTAGACGTTTCAGCTTTGCTGTGCTGCTGTAATAAACCTGGAACTCAACACTATTTCTGACATTTTGAAATAAAAAACTTCCTGGATGAAAGAGAAACGTCTTCAAACTTGGAAACAAACTCCAGTGGATTGTTTTTAACTTTTTTGGAATAACTTTGGGAGCGAAGCGTCAGTAAAGACATAAACATGTCACTCTGAGGGATTTGGTGTTAAAAGAAAGGCTCAGAGGAAAACATTCCTCTGTATAAACAGACATTAATCCCATATCAGTCAAAGGTGGAGCCCCCTGCTGGTCTAAAGCATTTCCTTCATCCAGCTCATTTCTGCAGCAATTTCCTGCCACATCTGTTTAATTAAAGGGAAACGCTGTTTTTTTTTAAACTGACACCATTATTTTACATTATTCCATCATGTTCTACTCTCCCATATGAGTTTGTTTCATTTGGAGCCGTTCTGAAGATATTCCGTTAGGTTATATCCAGTAACGTCTTCCTATGGGCAACGACTTGAAGGCACAAACTAAACTGTTCATCATTTATTCTTTATGGTACGCCAGCATTCAGAACATGGAGGAGAATCACTGTCCCCCAGACATCCGTGGTTATATTTTTTATATTTATATATCTTTTTAAAACAAAGCGGAGCGTGTATGACGTCATCCGCGCGACAGAGCGACCCACTTAGAGCAGGAATTTTACCAAGATTGTAAAACTTTTACTAAAAAATTTACCAGACATCAATGTTTGTACTAATTTACTTATGGACCGTGTGGAAATGTAGAAAAATAGAATCAATGTAAATAGAGTTCATCTGTTTGTCTTTATTCTATTTCTAGAAGTAGAAGTCAATAAATAGAACTATTTTTAAGGGGAAAACAAAAAATCTTTAGCATCCTTCTCATGTTGTTATGTTCTATAAAAGAAATAAAACCTGTTATTTATACCTGAACTGCCGTCAAAAATGAAAACAGTAATAACAAAGAAATATTGGTAAAAGGGAATCAGAAATGTTGATAGATTACAGTCTCTGTTTGTTCATTTTAAGAGCATTTTTCAGAAACTAGCATCTATAGAGATTGCAATTAACCTCGAATCGGAGTGCAGAGGATATAGAAAAATATACAGTCCAAAACAGACTAATAAAATACTATTTATAAAATTTTCTATGTAAACTCATTACTATTATGAAGATGACTGATTTAAAGAGCTGGTTGCGTTTTTGTTTTGTTTTTTTTCCTACTGGACTCGCGTCCTTTTCCTGCCCTCGGTCCATCTTTCTCAGAGTGCCCAAAAACAGAGGATGAATCACCCGGGCAACAGAGGTAAGGAGGCCAGCGTTCCTGAGCTAAAGCAGGAGCAGAAGGGGAGTCAGTGTGAGAACCATGTCTGAAAGAGACCGGGACGAGTCGGCCAGCTACGCCGCCCTCTGGGGTTATAAACCACAGCGGCAGAGGAGGCTGTTTGCTGCTAATAGCTCAGGTAGTGAGCTGAGGAGCACAGCAGTAGATCAGAGAGGCCTAACAGGCAAACAGAGCTCTGAGGGCCCTAGAGGGGCTACAGCAGGCCCTGGCTAACTGGAGGCTAACTATGGAGGATCAAAGCAGAACGGCAGAAGATCAGATTAGACTGCTGGGCAGACAGAGGGCTGAATGAAGGGAAGAGTGGCTGATGCTACTGTGAGGAGCACAGTGTGACATCAGAGAAGCCAGCCAGCGAGACAGAGCAGGAAGAGACGATGGCAGGCCAAGGCTAGCCTCTAGAGGCTAACTGCTGAAGGGTAAAGAAGGATCAGAGGAGCCTGCAGACAGACTGAGCAGCGGAGCAGGATGAGAGGAGCTGCAGCTGGAGAGCTATACACGCAAAGCATTATGGGATTTGCTGTCACAGCGGCCTGCTGCCGCTAACTGACAGCAGTGACTAATAACAAAGATGGCGCAGGCACCGCGCAGTGGAGGCGGAGTTACGTCACCAACAGAGCAAAAAGCAGTGATCATCTGTCTGAACGGTCAGTTAACTGAGTTCACTATAACGTTCATTATATATTCCCTGCTCTATATAGTGATGGAGGGATTTAGGGGTTAGGGCGGACGGTCAGACACAGTGAGCTGCTGTGAGCTATGAGAACAGCAGCCTTTAAACAGTGCGTGCACCAGGAGAAATATGCTGACTCTCTGAGGCTAAACCTGCGGGGCGACGGCGGTGGCGACGGCAGCATCGTCTGCGTTCTGACCTGACTGTCCTGCAAAACGTCCTGACAACCTTCCAGGGCCAGAGACACGGTGTCGCTGCACTGCGGACACACCCAGACCAGGTCCCGTATGGTCTGCAGCATGGCTGGAAAAGAAGACAGAAGAAAGGAAGCAGCGATGAGAGAGGCGTGGTCTGAGAGGAAGACGCTGATCGTTGCTCCCAGGATCATCAATACCTGAAGTTATTTGATCTTGTTTCAGTCCAAGCAGCCCAGTGAGGATCTCCAGACATTTGTCGCTGTAGCTTCGCCCGATGTGACCTGAGGGGGAGGAGGATTATGGGTAATCATGTAGATCCAGGGTAACATCCAGAGCCTTGATGTTATCGATCAGTCTAAGAGCCAGAAGCAGAAATGTTTTACTGTTTCATTAGAATTTCACAAATAAAATCTGAGTTTCTGCCAAACCTGATATAAACCAATGTTATAAAAGGATTTAACTTTGGCAGCTTAGAAGAACACAGCTGATTAAACTAATTAATTAATCCAGAAAAACATGTTTTTATAGTTTATTCTTTATAAACTAGTTGTTTATTTCCAGCTTGGCCTTTTTTACACAGGAAACAATCAAAGTCTCCTTAAAGTCATCAGAGCTCAGAGTAGAGGTGAAGTAGGGAAGCGGCTGATCCAGTCGTTGCATTTCTGAATTCTATCAGTGGTGCACGACTTTACACGAGTGAATAAAGTGAATGCGATTGGTCGTTTATCAAGGGGGCGGGATTGTTGTTGCGGAAGGTTTGCAAGCAAGTTTGTTTGTGGCCGGTTTGTTGGAAGCATCTTGCTAACCAGTTAGCATCTTAGTGCTAGCAGGTTCCCAATGGGAAATTCCATTGGGACCAAGTAGCACTAAATTGGTGACTTAGAAACGACGCTGTCAAGGAACGCTATGGACAGCGGAAACATGCAAGAGGAGGAGAGTTTAGTGTCGGAGGTCGTGGATGAGTCTCCTCCGTCATCCATTTTTTATTTAGAGGAGGAAAGCGGGGACGAAGATGTTGTGGAAGAGGACGCCAGGGCGGCAGAAGCTTGGTTTGGTGTAGAAGGCTTCCAGCCGTACATGTTTGAGCCCTTGCCTCGCAACGCTGCCAGTTCTGTTAGCTCTACGCCTGCCGAAGACACAGACGTCCATCCCCGTGAACACTGGGACGCAACTCAATGGGAAAGGAAAGGATTCTGGTTTCAACCGTTGCGTATATTAGCTGCGACATACGAATCAAGATGCTATGACCGAAAAAATTGGATTGACAGATGACCGTTGATATATGATTGGCCGAATTTAGGTGTTCAGGCTGACGTAGAACTAACTGGCCTGCAGAAGATAACGGGAAAAATACAGATTTTAAGACAGGACTTTTTCTAAAGTCGAAATTTTCTACCTTTTGGGGCAATATCGTCTGATAAAGAGTACATTTATATACATGTTTAAGCCAGAATGATTTAAAATTTAAATATGATTTTCCCACGACTTTAAAGGAGCCGCGTCACGGACTGCCGGTTTCCATGGTAACGTCTCACTGTGGCTGCTGATTGAATGATCCTGTTGGCTAAAATTATTTCTGGATTTTACATTTTGTTTTTCTTCATTTTGCAGTAACCATAATCCTTCAGGATTGGAGTGTTTAGTCAGACTTTACTCTGCAATGTAAAGTCTGACTAAACACTCCGCTTTGGATGCGGCGTGTTGGGAAGTCCAGCCAGCAGATGGCGACGGCGTAAAGCAACATTCATAAGTGCTGATAGCAGGTGGTGCAAAAAGACTTTTCAGGCTCAGAAAGGTCCAAGTAAGCAGCAGGAAGACGAATGATTGGCCTGCAAGCTTCATTTTAACCTCATCGTTTGTCGGTGTGTGTGTTTGTGTGTGTGGTGGTGGGGGGCAGTTAAAGGCATCTTTCCAGATTTCTTTTTCGTTTGTTTTATTTCTTTTTTTAAAGCTTAACTTTTAAATACATTTTCTGTTGTAATCTTAATAGTTTATTGTCTGTAATATAAACACCATGTCCTTCTAACCCTCTAAGGACCTTCATTAAATCAGGTTGGACCATAGATGCTGTCTCATATAAAGCTTTAGGACTGTAGAGATGTTTCTTCAGGACGGTGGGAGTTTTTACCGATGGCTGCGATGGCAGCCTGAGCCGTGTCGTCGTTCACATCGGTGCAGTATCCTTTCAGCTCCTCCAGAATCATCAGCACATTCTCATCGTTCACCAGCTCCACCAACACCTGCAGAAACATCATCTGGATTGAATGCCGCCGCGCCGCAAACAGCCAGCTGAGATACATCAGCTGTTGTTGCAAAGAAAAACCGGATTATATATAATAACACAGACATACAAACATAGTTTACATTTTAGAAAGATTTATCTAAAATTAATTCTCTCTATTTAATTCTAACAGGATCCTAACAACTCATTCTTAAAAAGATTTGCTGGTCTTGTTCTCTTTGTTTTTACTTAGCTGTGATAGAAATATGAAGCCTGCAGAGAGCAGCTGTGCAGCAGCAGCTTAAACGAGGAGTTTAAGCCACAAAATGTGGAGGACAGAGCGCCTCATAGTGGACATGAATGTTTTGCAGTAATCCAATCCAATCCAATCCACTTTATTTATATGGCACGGTTTAAATAAACACAAGGTTTCCAAAGTGCTGCACAAAAAGATAAAATAACTAAAATAAATAAAAGTAAATAAAATAATAAAATAGAAAATAGAAAAATCCGGAGTCACTGGGCTTCATGCAACAAGGATTACACAAAAAATGTAGTTCTTAAATTGTCTGTAGGAGTTATTAAGAAGAAACTGTTTTATTCTCCATTTTTCTCCTCTTTCTAATCGTCTCTCAGCTACAAAAACATTTCTTACTAGATGTAGGAGTCTACTAGCCTCGTGAGACCATCCTGATCTCGCGAGCTTTCAAGGTTTCACTCGCAGATCAGTCTGGAGACTCTCCATTAAAGAAAATTTGGAGCCGTTCACCAAACGAACGTCCAATCAGCGTTGGCTTTGAGGCGGGTTGAGGTGTGACGCAATGAGAAGCGCAACAGTTCAGTCTAAAGAACATGGCCGCTTCAGACGATGAAACTAGCGTTAGCGTGGCTATCGAGCAAGTTTTATCGGAATTACAGAGTATTTCTTCACTGAAAGAAGAGCAAAACACTGCTCTGGAGGCTTTCCTCAGAGGAAAAGATGTTTTTGCTCTTCTCCCGACTGGTTTCGGCAAGAGTTTGATCTATCAATTGGCTCCTCTTCGTCGTCGCTCTGTAAGTACGTCATATGCTTCGTTGATCTGATTGGTTTATTTGGCCCGTCTATCACCAACATAGGCCAATCAGCTAACCAGTATTTTCACCCCTTCCCAAAATTACTTCAACGGAAGGTTTCCAGATACATATGCGGAGCAAATCCATCTGGCGGAGTCAGGTTAGGAGTCTACCTCCATCAGTCAGCTGTAAGTTTCTCCCTAAATGACTTCATCTGTTGTTCATTAGAGGCAATCCTGCATTTTATCAGGCTGCATCATTCTATATTGTGCAGTTCTACAATTCTAGATGACAAAACTCTGGGTCCCTCCCCCTGCAGCTGGCATGTGGGGATCCAGGGGCCTCTGGTTTCATTTGTTGGTCCAGAAAAAGAACAGTCAGTGACTCTATGTGAGATCAATCTACTATAGAAATAAGATGCGGAACAGAAAATGGATGGTTGTCCAGCAAAGCTTCTCTAACGCTCAGACTTTCCTTCATCTCCTCCATAGCAGCTCCTTGTTTTTGTTCTCACACTAAATGTGGATGTTTGGCTCTGAATTCATCCGTTCACATCTGGATGTTTCTGTCTGAGAGACAGAGAGTAGATGAAGGGATGACAGACGTGCTCTGGAGATGGACAGTACAGGTGTGGGTGGGAAGTAAAAGGCAGAATGTTGGTTGGTTGATGGTGAACTCAGAAATATTTAAAACAGATGTTGAACCTCTGGCCTCATCTGGAGTTTTTATCCACTGTTTTCAGATTAAATGATTTTTTTCATCAGAAATCCATTTATTTAGTGTCTTTCTTCATCAACAACTCTGAAACATTTTATACCTATGAAATAAGTAGTTCATCCAAATGAAAATCCTCTCAGGATCTGTTTTAAATCCAAATTAAAGGCCCATAGAACTGCTTCCTAAAGCGCTTCAGGGCAGCAGACTACGGAAGAGGATTAGGGCCACTGAAAAAAAAAAAAAAGTAAAATGATTTTTAAATTTTATTTCAGTTTAACATGGGAAAAAAGTCAGAATTCTGACTTTTTTCTCAGAATTCTGACTTTAATCTCAGAATTCTGACTTTAATCTCAGAATTCTGACTGAATTCTGACAATAAAAAAAGTCAGAATTCTGAGAAAAAAGTCAGAATTCTGACTTTAATCTCAGAATTCTGACTTTTTTCCCATACTATACTGAAATAAAATTAAAAAAATCAGTTAACTTTTTTTTTTTTTTCCAGTGGCCCTAATCCTCTTCCGTAGCAGACTGTTTGGTTCTTACCTGCATTTTCCTCTGCTTGATGTAGACCGGCTCAGCATAGCTGCAGAAGAAACGCTTGAAGTGCTCCCCCAGCAGGCCAGGGGTGGAACGCAGCAGCAGCTGCAACAAGTCAAAGACATTTATTGGATTCCTTACGCAAACAGACGGTTATTTATCAAAAGACAAAGATGCTGATGAACAAATGGAAACGCTAAAGTAGATTTATGTTGAGGTTTTAATCTGAGCTGAATTATGGAGTAAATCAATTAACTTTATCGTGCAGAAAAGGTTTTATATGTAGACCTAGACTTCTTTTATTTTCAGTAGTTTAATTGATAAAAGCCAACAGACGTGTAATGCAGTGAGGTGAAAAACAGAGACACTTCCTGGGTGCAGACCTGAATGTGACAGAGCGCCGTAAACCTCATCTCTCTCGACCCGCTTCCACACGCAGCCAGCAGGGGGCCTCGCGCTCGCTCCATGGCCGCCTGGCTGACAGCAGGGAGGCTGGAGCAGAGGCTCAGGAAGAGGCTGAGGGTGGCAGCCATGACAGGAGGGTGGGGGCTGACCAGGGAGGAGTCCAGCAGCGAGAGGATGTCAAAGAGCTCGTCTTCTGACTGGGGCCGGTATCTCTGAAGGACCCTTAGCACCTCCGACTGGCCCCAAGTATCACACTCCTTCAGCCTGAGAGAAAACCACAAACACTTTACAGCTGCAGCTACGCTGAGAAAAGATCTAAGGTTGAGCAGGACTGCTTCCCTGCATCATGGATCACAGATGATGCAAACATCTACCTGTCACTTCTTAAGAACCATGTTGACATTAAACCACCTTCAACCTTCTTAACCAAACTGATCTTAACCCTTCTTAACCAAGCCTCTGATAGCTTCAGGAGAAATGTTCTATTTAGCTCCTGCTGTCATTTCAGGCTTTATCAAAATGTGGGTCAGCCGTCAGTCACAGCCGATCAGAAATAAATAAATATGCTGATAATTGTGTCACATTGATCTCTCTGTCTGTTACAGTCATTTATATCCCAAAGTGTAAAAAGGTACGAAAGGAAAAAGGAGGAGAAGGTGTGACGGGAAAGGAAGGCAGCATTATTTCTTACTCTGACCAACATTTAGTTCCTGCCTTTCAGCCCTGAGATGAAAACCAACCGTTTTCTGCTTGGAGGCAAAGCGAGTGCTGATTCTCTCCCCTGCAGAGAAGCTAAAAGATTATACGGTTATAACCTTTAAATGGATGAAATGTTTTTATCATCAAGTAAAGAGCAGTCTATCTAGGAAGATCTCTCTATTGTGTAAAATCTATAACTGTTGGTGATGCAGATCATGGATTATATATTAAATAAAACATCTGCTTTCCTTTAATGTTTCCTGCTGTGAAGCAGAGTCTCCTGCAGTGGAAGCAGCCATGTTGGCGACGGTCCCCTAACCAGCCTGAGGTCCTGCTGCGCTCCAAGGCTACAGTCTAAACATCACTGCAGGTTTCGATGCTTTGAATTAGAATTTTTCACAGGCATTCTGGCGCCGCTTTGATGACACAAAAAAGAAGCCCACAATGGACACAGAGGCACCGTGGACAAGTCATTTACGCAGGCAAAAGAAAAAATGTTCCAGGTAAACTCCTACAGTTTCCTTACTTTATTTCTCCTCAGGCAAGCAAACAGAAAAGGACAAACATTTCCTCCATGCTTCTCTTGCACTGATAAAAATACGCCCACCCAGATGCATGCTGGTCCTGCCATAGACTAGCCTCGTGAGACCATCCTGATCTCGCGAGCTTTAAAGGTTTCACTCGCAGATCAGTCTGGAGACTCTCCGTTGAAGAAAATTTGGAGCCGTTCACCAAACGAACGTCCAATCAGCGTTGGCTTTGAGGCGGGTTGAGGTGTGACGCAACGAGAGCGCGACAGTTCAGTCTAAAGAACATGGCGGCTTCAGCCGATGAAACTAGCGTTAGCGTGGCTATCGAGCAAGTTTTATCGGGATTACAGAGTATTTCTTGACTGAAAGAAGAGCAAAACACTGCGGGTCGCACTGAAGAATGACGACGTCACAGCTGCAGAGAAGTCTGTGACGTTATGCTACGATCACACCGTACACCATCAGAGAAGCACCTTTCCGATGCTTGTCGTCATTAAGGTCAGCCGTTCAGTAAAATGTCTGAATTGGCGTTGAGTTTGAGGCTTTATATAGCGGACCAAAGCCTATGGCTAAGAAAACAGGCTAATTTACCCAGCAGAACAGCTGCGGCCCTTAGAAAAGGGGAGTCGTTTTGGGTTATTTTATAGCCTGTAACATGCGATACTGGCCTATGTCTCTGAAAGGGGGTCGTTAGAGGCAATCGTTGGCTCCGTTCGCACCGGATGCAATGTAAGCATGAAAGAAGCTTCAGCTGCTTTATTTTTGATCCACATTAAGGTCAGACGTCCAGTAAAGTGAGTCCAGATGCTTCTGCTGCTCCTGTGTTCAATTCCAGAGAGCAGCTTTGCTATATTAGCTGTGATCAGCGGGTAAAAAGTAGTTAGAATCTATGTTGAAGTGAGAAAGTCCTCCTGAAAACATGGTCTGTGCAGTCAGTTCATCAAAGCATAGGCGGATCTACTGGGGTGGCATAGGGTGGCAAATGCCTCCCTAAATGACAGCCTTGCCACCCCTGCTGCCACCCCAGTTTGCTGTAGGGGTGGCGAGGCTTATGAATTATAGATAATTTGAGAATTTCGACCGCTAATTTCTAATGTCGGACTGCAGTGAATGCAGCACAAGATGACGCTAGAGCGACTGAGACTGATTTGCTTTGAAAACCGAATGGGGCAAAGCGAGGGAGCCAGGGGTCATGGGGAGAGGAGACACGGGAAGAAACAGGTAAACACTGATTAACTATCTATTGAGAAATTAAATCATAATGAAAGCACATTGTTACTAGCATAGCTGCAATGCTGATTTACAGATGATAAAAATCAGGTTGCAGAACGTTATTTCTCTAACTATGATGTTAGTTAGGCCTGACGACTCAGGCTCATAAAGACATATTTACGGTCAACTATGACAGAAAAGAGACGATCAAGTTTGGTTGAACTCAAATCAAAACGCACAAAGGCTTTGGATCTAAATACAGGTGCTGGTCATAAAATTAGAATATCATGAAAAAGTAGATTGATTTCAGTAATTCCATTTAAAAAGTGAAACTTGTATATTATATTCATACATTACATACAAACTCATATATTTCAGATGTTTATTTTGTTTAATTTTGATGATTACAAATGACAACAAATGAAAATCTCAAATTCATCATATCAGAAAATTAGAATATTGTGAAAAGGTTCAAAATTGATGGCCCCTGGTGCCACACTCTAATCAGCTAATTAACTCAAACCACCTGCAAAAGCCTTTAAATGGTCTTTCAGTCTAGTTCTATAGGCTACACAATCATGGGGAAGACTGCTGACTTGACAGTTGTCCAAAAGACGACCATCGACACCTTGCACAAGGAGGGCAAGACACAAAAGGTCATCGCTAAAGAGGCTGGCTGTTCACAGAGCTCAGTGTCCAAGCACATTAATAGAGAGGCGAAGGGAAGGAAAAGATGTGGTCGAAAAAAGTGTACAAGCAAGAGAGATAACCGCACCCTGGAGAGGATTGTGAAACAAAACCCATTCAAAAATGTGGGGGAGATTCACAAAGAGTGGACTGCAGCTGGAGTGAGTGCTTCAAGAACCACCACACACAGACGTATGAAAGACATGGGTTTCTGCTGTCGCATTCCTTGTGTCAAGCCACTCTTGAACCACAGACAGCGTCAGAAGCGTCTTGCCTGGGCTAAAGAGAAACAGGACTGGACTGCTGGTGAGTGGTCCAAAGTCATGTTCTCTGATGAAAGTAAATTTTGCATTTCCTTTGGAAATCAAGGTCCCAGAGTCTGGAGGAAAAGAAGAGAGGCACTTCATCCACGTTGCTTGAAGTCCAGTGTAAAGTTTCCACAGTCAGTGATGGTTTGGGGTGCCATGTCATCTGCTGGTGTTGGTCCATTGTGTTTTCTGAGGTCCAGGGTCAACGCAGCCACATACCAGGAAGTTTTAGAGCACTTCATGCTTCCTGCAGCTGACCAACTTTTTGGAGATGCAGATTTCATTTTCCAACAGGACTTGGCACCTGCACACAGTGCCAAAGCTACCAGTACCTGGTTGAAGGACCATGGTATCCCTGTTCTTAATTGGCCAGCAAACTCTCCTGACCTTAACCCCATAGAAAATCTATGGGGTATTGTGAAGAAGAAGATGCAATACACCAGACCCAACAATTCAGAAGAGCTAAAAGCCACTATTAGAGCAACCTGGGCTATCATAACACCTGAGCAGTGCCACAGACTGATCGACTCCATGCCACGCCGCATTGCTGCAGTAATACAGGCCAAAGGAGGCCCAACTAAATACTGAGTGCTGTACATGCTCATACTTTTCATGTTCATACTTTTCAGTTGGCCAACATTTCTATAAATCCTTTGTTTTTATTGGTCTTCAGTAATATTCTAATTTTCTGATATGATGAATTTGAGATTTTCATTTGTTGTCATTTGTAATCATCAAAATTAAACAAAATAAACATCTGAAATATATGAGTTTGTATGTAATGTATGAATATAATATACAAGTTTCACTTTTTAAATGGAATTACTGAAATCAATCTACTTTTTCATGATATTCTAATTTTATGACCAGCACCTGTATATTTGTGAAGCGTTTTGCTGAGCAACATGGAAATCACTGCATTCACCTGTTATAGTCAAGGTAACTTTATGCTATGCTCTCTGGTGAGCCTTTACAGAGCTGTTACATTTTGTTTTGGCACCTCAGAAAATGTTATATTTCCTTTAATAAAACCAAAAGTGTTAAAAGTTAAAATGTGATACTGGTGTAAATCCTGCTTAATATGAAGCAGTGTTGTTGTTTCTTTTTTGTATATTTAGTATGAAATCATCCAGAAGTGACCTGTATGAACCTACTCACAACATTTTTTGTACTTTTTCAGACTGGAAGCAAAATGTATTTTTATGTTGCTTCTTTTCAGATTTGTGGAGATTTTGATGTAACATACAGAACCCGCCTTTTTGTTGATTTGTTGATACAGCAGTATGGAGGACCAACTCTGCCATATTTAAAAATAAATACAGAAATAAATAAATGCTCAATAAATAAATAAGCATACAATTAATTGCCACCAAAAATGCAAACAACAAATAAATGTAAGTAGAAATTTAATTATACAGTGAGTCATAAATGTATATAACTCTTTTAATTAGCTTCTTTATTTATTTGCCTTTGTAACATTTACCTTATTTATTTTTTTGTCATTTATTATCTTCAACTTTATTTTTTAATTACTTATATTTTTAAGTATTTATTTATGTGCATGTTATCATATTTTTGTCTGTTTTATTCTTCCTTTGTATTTTTTTACCCTAGTTATTTCTTCGCCGTTATTTCTTTCCGCCTGCCCTTTTAACATTTCTGCCTGCCATTATAATATAATTTCTAATAACATTTATTTGTTGATTGCATTTTTGGTGGCAATTAATTGTATGCTTATTCATTTATTGAGCATTTATTTATTTATTTCTGTATTTATTTTTAAATACGGCAGAGTTGGTCCTCCATATGCGGCTCTACCTACAGAATATTTACATGCATGAAATGTCCCTTTCATTTTGCCTTAACTGCTGTATTTCAAGTTACTGAGGAACAAATGGGGTAAATGTGTGTTCAGAGTAAACATTACATAGATGTCCAGTACCTTGTTCGGGTGTCTTGACCCATTTATTTCTACTGTGTAGTTCTGCTCACTTTAGTCCAGCTCAGTCCATAGATCTCTGATGGGTAACTTTTTTCTTTCTATAGTTTCTTCTTGTGCAAATGCTGCAAAGCTGCCTCTCTGACAGTCAGTCTCACACATCTGCGACTCAGCACCTGTGTCTTACCTTAATACCTTTCCTGTCATAAGGCCCCTCTAGAAGTAGTGTTATCATTCTTCTATCTCCTATTAAGTGAGATCTCATTGTACGATGTATTATTAATATGAACTGTTTCACATGAAACACTAGTACTGTACATACTATTCTCACCAAACTATGATAACTGTGATTAAATTCAGTGTAAACAAATGCCATATGTTACCACCCCTCAAAAATTTCTGCCCCCCTCTCGCCACCTCATAAATATTTTTCTAGATCCGCCCCTGCTTCAAAGATTATTTCTCTGTGGGAGCCGCTCAGACCCCCACATACCGGCGCTGCGCTGTCACTGGGAATCCCCAGCAGCAGCTGCCTCAGGCCCGCTCGCCTCTTGGGGGTTTTCCCCTCCTGTTGGTGGCGGCTGGAAGTAGATGTTAGCGTTTTTCAGGTCTGTGCTACAAACTGCAGGCAGCAGGATAATAAAAGCCAACATATTCTGCCGGCAGGTTTCTACATTTTAGGTTAATTTAGGCGTTAATAAACTGTTTCAGAGGAGAGATCATACTTCTAATGCTTGTGAATCGCGCCCCTCGCCTCAGATGGACCTTCTGATGCGCCATGATGTGCGCCATCCGTTGACTTAGCATGTAAACCAGCTTTGAAGGTGTGAACGTAGCATTAATGTGGTATAAAATGCAGCAGGAATATTCATATTAGCAGAATCATTTCTGATCTGGTTGAAGGTATGAAAGAGACTCCAATGAATTTCTGTTTCGCTGCGAGTGAAATCAGGTGAGTTTGTTGGTCTGACCTGTTGAGGAGGTGGTGAGCGATGGGCTTGTTAATGACCACGCCTCCTTCCTCCTTCAGGATTTCCTCCAGAGCTCGGAGGCAGTTGACCATCACCACGGGGTCCGGGTCCCTCAGCAGGCCGTACAGCTCGTTCACCACCGCAGCATCTGGAAGGGACGGGAATTCTGGGATGTCGGTTTCCAAACAAATTTACTTTCATCTGAAAACAGAACTTTAGATGATTGACTAACGGCTCAGTTTCTGGTTCTGGAGTCCATGGACACGAGGAATGCAGGAATGCTCTACTTCCTACTCTACTGCTTCCTTACAATCCATTTTCTGTGCAAATGCTTGGATCAAAAACTCCTTCATCATCTCCTCCTTGCAAAGGAAGTTGTCGTGTCTCCTACTCTTCTGGAGAGTCGGGGCTTAAATTCTATTAGACTTTCACGCTCTGGAAATAAACTTTAATAAAATATTCTAATATTTTTCCAGACGTAATGAAGCAAAATATGTTTAGGTTCCTGATAATGTGTTACCAGTGATCTATGAGAAGCTTTGACCCGGGAGGTTTAGTCCCAGACCCTCTGCCTCATCCAGTCTAGAAGGAGCCCGCTGACTGTCCAGCAGACCTTCTGGTCGTCATTCCTGTTCAAACTTTCCTGGTTCTGGTTGAGGAGTTTGGTTTCTAAGCATGTCCAGCTTTGCAGCAGAAATGAAAGGTCTACCTGTTTCAGGTTGGAGCTGGTGCAGTTTGGCCCAGCCAAGAACAGCCACCCGCCTGACGCACGCCGCCCTGTCTCTCAGCCCCGCTGTCAGCGGCTGCTCCACGTACTCCACCAGGCTGGGCAACCTGCCGACACAAACACAGCCGTCAGAAATGGTTCCCCGTCCCCTCCGCCTTAGGGGCGTCGCCCTCTGCTTGCCTCAGGTTGGTCATGCTTCTCAGAGCCAGGCTGCGGACCATGGGGTTGGGGTCCAGGCAGTCTTTCCTCAGCGTGTTGACGACCAGCAGGGAAAGCTCCGGGTTAAGGTGGGCGTAGCAACACAGGAAGACATACACCAGCTTCTTCTGGACCACGTCTACGGTGGCGCAGGCTTTCACCATCTCACTGAACAGGTCAGAGACATCCAGGCCCTGAGACATCGCCCTGAGGAGGGGGGGGGGGGGGGGGGGGGGGGGGGGTGAGGAGGAGGGAGGAGTTACACCAGGAGTTAATTTACTTGCTTAATTAAACCAGGAAATTAACTTTTTTTTTTTTTTTAAAGATAGAATTATTAGATTGGATATTTGCACAGGCTGTTTCCATGTATATATATATATATATATATATATATATATATATATGTATATATATATATATATATATATATATATATATATATATATATATATATATATATATATAGTTATTGCTCTGGGTGTCAGATATAGAGAAACAGGTTATTGCACAGGGTATTAAATAGTAATAAATAATAGTAATAGTAACAGGCTGTAAAAGGAGCTGCTCGGCTCCTCTACAGTCTGAGGGTGATAATCCCTGTTATTCCTAAAAACCAGTGCAGCTAATTCCACAGGAGGCTAACCATGCAGGGTGGCAGCATCATGCTGAGGGACACGTTCCTACAGCAGGAGACTGTAAGACTTTTGTCCTGACCAACCCCCCCTTTTCAGCCAAAGCAGTCACAGGCAAGTCACATGGAAGCCACCAGAGGTGTGACCAACCACCCCCCTCTCTGTGAGGACAGAACAAAACCACAGAGCACACAGGATTCTCTCTCTTTTGCTGCTGCTCTCCTTGCCTCCTCTCCCTTGCCCATGAAGCTGGGTCCAACACAGTGGAGATGCAGGCCCCAGGGGAACCAGATCTCCAGAACCATCAAGAATTAGTCAGAACCTTTCAGAACCGAACTGTTGCAAAACAGACCTTTTGCAACACATTTCTCTTGAGTTTCAGAACTTATAGAGCCAAACTGGATGAGAGAAGGACTTCCCTGACAAAGAACCTCTGCTGTGTCCTGACTGCAGAGCTACAAAACTGGATGAAACTCAAGCTTTCCAAATGGACGTAGAAAAAGGTTTGCAGGTCTGGCATGATTAGGGACAGAACAAGCAATATGATGCTAATCATATCACGTGTTTACTGCTGAGTAAAGATGACGCTAAAGAATGGACTGCATGCTATGCTATGCTACAGGAAAATGTGTTGAGCTGTTGCTAAAGCTTAGACAATCTTTATTCACTGAGGATTTAAACACTGATATAACATTAGTGTTCATGTGTTCCTCAGATGCTCATTACATTTCCATTACCAAGTCTGACCAAGAGTCATTTAGTGGAATCCTGATGTCTATTCGCTGCTAGTTATTTCAAAGAGGGTAAAGAATCATTTAGCTAAAGGTTATTGGTTCTTGATTAAGCAAATCATTCAATAAAACATTATTTGGCCAAATAATGTTTTATTCACCTCATGGATTTGCATTGTGAATTGGTCTGAAAACATTCCAATTTCTTTAAAATTTGTGAAAAGCTAATTTGATCAGATCCCAAATTATTCCAGACAAACTTTGGTTTCAATCATAGAATCCATCTTAAACTGTAATATGTTTTTCAACCGTTTTCCCCTTCCTCTTTGTACATAGTAGTTAGTTTAGTTTAGTTGAGTTTTACTAGTCTTAGTTGAGAGTGTTAAATTGAAATATGTTTGACTTGGAGCTGAATGATTTTTGTTAATAAAATCTTATATTTTGAACAGAAGTTGTGGTGAATTTATTCCATGTATGTGCAGAATTAACTGTTTGACCATGATTAGTGCTCGAATCACTCTTTCATTTATTGTTCTAACACACAGTTAGTAGGACTGTGTGTTATAAACACTATATAACAGCTGAAATAATATCTGATTAAATAAGATATTTTTTATTGGGAATAGAAAGGAATATATAATAACAGACATTTCCATGTTTCCAGCTTTTCAGGAAGTCTGACCTAAAGAAACTGGAGCAGTGTCTTTAGATCTTCCAGCTAAAGTGTCTGTTTGTGGATGGGCAAAGTTAGCAGAAACAGACCAAATTCCAGGATAATGATCATATTCAGATGGAATTTATTAAATCATTAAACGTTCTTTTATCTCTCTGCTTTGTTTTGGTCCAAAGCAGGAAAAGCTCAAGAAAAATCATTTTACTTGAAAAGATAAACATGTTTTTATAAAATAGGTTAAAATAACAACTTTTGTGGAAATTAAACTTTAATTGAAGGAGAAGATGTCTGAAGAAACATGAGGTGAAAGCATTTAGTGTGGGATGAAGATCAGTTCGACTGGAATCATCATCAAGTGCCGTAAAGCAGGAGCCTCAGCTGAAAAGCGAGTCCCACCTGATGACTCTGAGCACCGCGTTCCTGTAGCGCAGAGGGTCGGTCTGGATGTTAGGGTTGGACAGAGACCTCCTCAGCTCCTTCACCGTCTCCTTACCGCCCAGATACGGCATGATGGGGATGATGATGGGCTCTAGAAACACGGCAAACATCGACTCTTTATCATAACATCACAGATTAAACAGACAAAGAGGCTTAAAATGTTAATAAATACCAAGGTGATCTTCAAGCTGATTATTTTGTCTGACAGAAACAGTCTAGATGATGACGGGTTTGTTTACATTGCCCAAACTTCCGCTTCGGTTCCTTCAGCGGCTCCTTTCCCCCACGTCAGATCGCCCTCTGCTGGCCTGGAGTGGAACTGCAGCGCATTATAGCGTCTGGGGCAAAGTCTGAAAGATCACAGCATATTCTAGAATTTATTAGTTTTATTCATATTTTTCATTTACATTTCCTTCAATATAATTCTCGTGAAATAGCGCGAGGAGGCTCAACTTACTGTTTTAAAGACATGCCTGATTTTGCTTCAGTTAAAATATATACTATTTATTAATTTACTATGTATTTCCATCTGTAATGTATCTTTTTAAAGCAATCTACCTCATAAGTTGTTAAATCTGTATTTCTGTGACACCTTTCACAAAAACACAAAGGTCACTCTTTAAAGGTGATCTAGTGAGCAGTAAGGGAGCAGAGTCAACTTTAGGAACCTTATAACCCTTTATAGGGTTCTCAGTCAAATACTTTTAGATTTCCAGCCAATAGTTCTTACATAAAAAAAAAATGGTAAAAATTAATTTCAATGTAATAACAAGAAACACCAACTTGCCCAAATAAATGTTTTTTCTTGACTTGCTAACTCCCCCCCCCACCAGTTAATTTCCAGTAGGTAATATATTATTCAATGGTTCATTTAATTGGTCAAATGCCAAAAAAAAAAAACATGTGCAGCCATGTAGCAGCATCTCTTCTGAATGGATGGATATGTAGATCTAGTGCTTCTAGACCTCACTGAGGGAGACTGCATTATTAATGGGTATGCAAGTAATCAGAAACTTGCCCTATGAATGGTGAATAAGTCTGTAAATCATCTTGTTCAGTCTGTTAATTTCTCTAGAAAACTGGACTGAATACATTTGCCTTCGAGTTTTTATAAACGTCGCCTCGTTAGTTGATTTATCCCTTTTAAAGTATTAAAGGTTTCATAAATTGTTTCTATTTTCTTAGTAAATTGAAGGATTTGGCATCAAAGTAATCAAACCATAAGCCTCAGATATAATTAAGTGGCTTTCATATGTTTATTGTTTAAAATAAAATTATTTATTCATTCAGACGTTTAAATTTACAGCAGATTTTTCGACCAAAAGTCTTTAAACGGTGAAAAAGCCCAGAAGCTTGAAGGAAGCTTAGAGGAACAGAAATGCTTCCGGATCTTCAATTCCCATCCAAGACTTTCTCTTGAGAACTAAAGCAGGTCTTTGGAATTAAATCTTTGATTTTCCAATAAAGAAAAGACAAACATTTAATCCGAGTTTGTTGTTTTTATTGAGTGAAAAGCAGAGAAAAATACAAATCAACAAACGGCTTCAGACGTCCAGCGGTTTCAGTCCCGCCTCTCCTCCTGCAGCAAACATCGGCCCTGCTCGGCCCCGCCCACGGCGCTTTGGGTTTGATGAGCAGGGCGTCATAAAAAGGGAACAGAAGGAGGACCTCCATGTTGGACGTTGGAGCGGGAAAACCTGGACACTGCCCAGCTGTTCTAAGGAAGCTGCTCAAGCCTTCCAGAGCGCCCAGTGGGCAGAACCAGTTCCCAGGATTAACGACCCATTTAGTTTCCAACATCTTATATTGATAAATCCACAAATTAAATAAATCAGAAGAAATAACAGAAAAATTTAAGCTCTAAAATCCAGGTTAGAAAGTATATATATTAACGAACACCCCCCCACCACACACACTCATTCACTCCCACTGCGGCGCAGCGTCAGCAGCGTCTACGACACGTCGCCGCACTGCTCCGGATTGGCTGCACTGTTATCCTGATTGGCTCCTTGGCTTCCTCGTGGCGGCACTTCGATGATGCGCGGCTTGTCGATGATGCGCGCCCGGCGGTCGCCCTTCTCTACAATCCCGATGATCCAGGCGCCGTTGGAGGCGCCCTGAGCAGAGCTGAGGCTCTTCATCTCCGAGCAGAACTTGGCCGCCTGCTCTCTGGGTAAACACACCAGCAGCCCGCCTGTCGGAGGGACGACAATCAGTTTCCTCCTCAAGAATTCCCACATTTACATCCTGGAAGTTTTTCCCACTTTCTGCTTCCCTTTGTATTCCCAGCTAAAGACGTCACCTTATAAACTTTACAGAACAAAAACCTGCATAGCAAGATAACCCACAATTAAAGATAAGCCGCTGTTAAAGCTGATATGCTGTTGAAACCAGTATACTCTCTAAGCTAAGCTGGCGTTTAAACTAAGCCAGCATTTAAGCTAAGCCGACATTTAAACTAAGCCCGCATTTAAGCTAAGCTGACATTTAAACTAAGCTGGCATTTAAACTAAGCCAGCATTTAAGCTAAGCCTGTGTTTAAACTAAGGCGGCGTTTAAGCTAAGCCGGCATTTAAGATAAGCTGGCATTTAAACTAAGCCGGCGTTTGAGCTAAGCCAGCATTTAAGCTAAGCCTGCGTTTAAGTCAAACCAGCATTTAAGTAAAGCTGGCATTTATGCTAAGCCTGCATTTAAACTAAGGCGGCGTTTAAGCTAAGCCGGCATTTAAGATAAGCTGGCATTTAAACTAAGCCGGCGTTTGAGCTAAGCCAGCATTTAAGCTAAGCCTGCGTTTAAGTCAAACCGGCATTTAAGTAAAGCTGGCATTTAAGCTAAGCCTGCATTTAAACTAAGGCGGCGTTTAAGCTAAGCCGGGCATTTAAGCTAAGCCGGCGTTTAAACTAAGCCGGCATATAAGCTAAGCCAGCATTTAAGCTAAGCTGGCATTTAAACTAAGCCAGCATTTAAACTAAGCCGGCGTTTGAGCTAAGCCAGCATTTAAGCTAAGCCTGTGTTTAAGTCAAACCGGCATTTAAGTAAAGCTGGCATTTAAGCTAAGCCTGCATTTAAACTAAGGCGGCGTTTAAGCTAAGCCGGCATTGAAGCTAAGCCGGCGTTTAAGCTAAGCCGGCATTTAAGCTAAGCTAACATTTAAGCTAAGCTGGCATTTAAACTAAGCCAGCATTTAAGCTAAGCTGGCATTTAAACTAAGCCGGCGTTTGAGCTAAGCCAGCATTTAAGCTAAGCTAGCATTTAAACTAAGCTAGCATTTAAGCTAAGCCTGAGTTTAAGTCAAACCGGCATTTAAGTAAAGCTGGCATTTAAGCTAAGCCTGCATTTAAACTAAGGCGGCGTTTAAGCTAAGCCGGCATTTAAGCTAAGCTAACATTTAAGCTAAGCTGGCATTTAAACTAAGCCAGCATTTAAGCTAAGCTGGCATTTAAACTAAGCCTGCGTTTAAGTCAAACCGGCATATACCGTATTTTCACGACTATAAGGCACACTTAAACGTCTTTTTTTTCCCTTAAAATGTGCGGTGCGCCCTTTGGTGCGGTGCACCCTATGTGTGTTGTAACTGCGACTTTTGAGACCACCTCATTGAGGAGATGATGAAAGAGTGGCTGAATGTAAGGAGACCAGGTGTTTTTTTCCCACTCATCGCCATCGCTGTTAATATGTAACTCCATGCGTGCCCATCTCACAGCTGATGTGAAAAACATGGGGAAACAAATTAACGCTGTGCTCGCTGTTCAACCGCTCGACATCGGTGTGAACCGGACCCAGCAGGTGCAGCAGAAGCAGCGAGTTTACATGCAAAGTCAATGGTTGACGCGCGTATAGGTGCAGCAAAAGGTCCCGCAGCGCGTTTTGAGCAGCAGCAGCGTTTAAGCATCTGCCAACGCGCTGCTGCTGCTCGAGATGGAAAAATTGAAGTTTTGCTGCTGGAAGCGCCGCATCAACCAATCAGAGAAGCTGATCTGGGAGCTGACAGCGAGACAGACACAGCGCTCTGATGACAGATGATATTAACGCAAATGGAAAAGGCTGGATGGATGAGGAGATGATGAAAGCGTAGCTGAGGGAGGTGTAGCCTATGTGAGGAGACCAGGTGGTTTTTTCCACGCATCACCATCGCTGCGTGCCCATCTCACAGCCGATGTGAAAAAAAAGGTGAATCAAATGAACGCTGTGCTCGCCGTTATCTCGGGGGTCTGACAAAGGAACTTCAACCGCTCGACATCGGTGTGAAGCGGCCGTTCAAAGTAAGGCTGCGAGCGGCGTGGGAGCGATGGATGACAGACGGAGACCACAGTTTCAGGAAAAGTGGAAGGCAGCGCCGGGCAAGTTACGCCACCGTTAGCGGATGGATTGTTGATGCTTGGACTAACGTGTCTGCTGGCTCTGTTGTTCAAGCTTTCGCAAAAGCCGGCATTATTTCTGAGGAGCCGCGCTGCACGGAAAGTGACTCTGACAGCGAAGAAGGGGAAACTGGCATGTCTGATTTAGCGCAGCTGTTTTATTCAGAAACAGAGGATGATGACTTTGATGGGTTTGATTAATACTTTGTAATAAATACATGAATAAAGCACAATCATACTCAGTTTTGCTCCCGCTCTATTTTTCTACCTGAAAACTTAATTCAACAGCAGCCTCTGGGCGGGTCTCCTCCTCTTCAGCGCGGTGGCTGGCAGGTGTTTTTTCATCTAAATAATCTAAATCTTGCAGCTATATTTGCTGTGATCAGTGGGAATAAAGTAGTTTTAATATGTTTTTAAGTGAGAAAGTCCACCTGAAAACTTCATAATTGCAGTCAGTTCATCCAGATTATCTATTTCTGTCGGAGGCGCTCAGACCCCCACATACCAGCGGTGCGCCGACAGGAGAAATCCTTTCATCAGCAGCCTCTAGGCTGGGCAGCCTCCGGGTTCACCGCGGTGGCTGGCAGGTGTTTTTCATCTAAATAATTTAAACTGCAGGCACCAGGATACCGGTAATAAAAGCGAACATATTCCGTCGGCAGGTTTCAGGATTTTAAGTTAATTTAGGAGTGATCACAGCACTGTGTCATCTGCGATGTGTCTGTCTCACGGCCAGCTGCCAGGTTTGATTAATACCTTTTAATAAATACATGAATAAAGCACAGTCGTACTCAGTTTTGCCCCTGCTGTATTTTTAAATACGCAGTAGAGGTATTTAAAGGTAGTAGAGGACATGTACCTGTATATAAAAAATGCGCCCTATAGTCCGGTGCGCCTTATGTGTGTGTTAAATACAG